GTGTCCTCAGGGCGGTCCTCGCAGTGATGACACCCGGGCGTTTCCTCCCGCCCCATCAGACACAGGTACCTCCCGAAACTTCCATGTCCGGTGAGGACCTGCGTCAGGCGGTAGGTGAGGACGCCGTAGCGTCTCTCAAGCCACTCCTCAAAGAGGGGACTTACTGCTGCGATGGCAGCGAGCCCAAGTGTAGGTACCTACACGGCGGCTATTGACTCGATCAACTGATGTTTGCGAGTCCACGTTGACCAGCGACCGCGTCAATATTTTTTTTTCTTTTTTTTTTTTTTAAATAAATTATTTTACTTTAAATTTACTTTATTTCAGGACTATTCATTCGGCAGATGCTTTTAACTTCTTGATTAACGACCAAGAAGTTACTTACCGGGGCCACGAAACAACTAACATAACAAGAATTGTTGTTTTGAAGCGAGTCGGCGATATTACTCAAGTTGATTTAGTGGACGGCGGCCTGTACCACAACTTCGTCACTATAAGGTTTACCTGTCAACGATCTTACTCTATGTACAATATAATCGACATCTTTGCGACTATAAACTGTCATAATAATTAAATAAACAATGAGTAAGCACAGTAATTACCTAATTAATTATTTTCCTGAAGAATGTAGAAGCCATTGACAGAATAAACGACTTTCACCTTATTTTCTTATTTAATTTAATTTAATACTAGCTGACCCGGCAAACCTTGTTTTACCATATAAATAATTTCGTAGAAGGGTGAAAATTGAGGATTGTATGTATTTTTGTATGTTGTATCATAAAAAAAACAAAAATTAAAAATTTGTCTAAAAAATAAAAATAAAAATGTAGGCGTGGACTACCCCTAACATTTAGGGGAATGAAAAATAGATGTTGGCCGATTCTCATAGATACCGGATAAGCACAAAAAATTTCATCAAAATCGGTCAAACCGTTTCGGAGGATATGGCATATGAGACATTTTATGTTCGAACACATTGATGAACAAACCAACCTACATTGTACAGTGGCATTCAATGCCGTAATGTACACCTGTGCCTACCCCTTCGGGGATAAAAGGCGTGATGTTATGTTATGTTATGGTCACTCGTAAGCTGTTAATGTTATATGAGTATAAATAAACAACAGTTTATTTTTTTAAATTATTTATTTACATATTAGAACAGTTTACAGTAGCATAGATGCTAATGTGGCATCCGATTTGTAGTGATCTCAGACCTTTAAGACCAAGAGTCACATGGTTTCTGTACAAACCGCCGTCCAGGATGGTGACTGTAGTATAATTGCTTAAGTACTCTCGGACTATAATACTGGTTATATTCGTTTTCTCATTCCCCCGGTATGTCACTTCTTGATCATTAATCTGATATTCCATGCCGTACGCCTCGTGATATGTGCTGAAAGAAAAATCTCGCACATTAGTGGATTTGTCGCTCAAGTCTTCTAAAACTAGGCTTACAGTTCGGTAACACAGGAATTTCCTCCCACGGACCCTCCGATTGTGGAATGAACTCCCTGCCGTGGTTTCCCAGTGGGCTACAACATGGGGTTCTTCTAGAGGGGAGCGAATAGGTTTTTAGGGTCGGCAAGAGCAAGACGCATGTAATGCCCCAATTGTTGCAGGCGTACATAGGCCACGGCAACCGCTTACCATCAGGTGGGCCTCCGGGTAGGCTCACCCTCTATAACATGGGACTCATAACATAAATAGTGAAAAGTGGGTGAGCCTGCCTCATTGGCTGAGTGGTCGTAATGTGCACCTCTGCCTGCCCCTTTGGGGATAAAAGACGTGATGTTATGTATGTTATGTTGTATGGTACTACATACGCGGATATAAGTCTGTCATCAGGTCCAACGGATCCCCATTGATAGTGCAATCGCCGTGCCACCGATGGATCTGATTCCTCCATATCTAGTTCCTCATAGAACACATTGGCTTCTTGCGCTTCATAGCTGTTCACTGCTGCGGCTACTGCCACCAACAATACGACTGCTAGGACCTTCATCTGGAATCAAATTTTTTTTTATGGCATAAGCCGGTAAACGAGCAGACGGATCACCTGATGGTAAGCAGTCGGCGTCGCCTATAGATACCTGGAACACCAGAGGCGTTACAAGTGCGTCACCGGCTTTTTGGGGGTTAGGAGTTTGAGGATCGTTGGGATTCAGGGATTGGGGAGATTGGGGAAGGGTAAGGTAATTGGGCCTCCGGAAACCTCACTCACACGACGAAACACAACGCAAGCGTTGCTTCACGTCGGTTTTCTGTGAGGCCGTGGTATCGTAGTGGTATCATCAGATCAAAATGGTATAATAGAACACATCTTTCTTTTCTTTGAAAAAATACCTCACATCTTTTGTATGCAGTAAAGACTTTTTAACCGACCGAATTCAAAAAAAGAAGGAAGTACTCAGTATGTCTGTCTGTGCGCGATTGTCTCGCTACAGGCTAAATAAATATTTATGCGTTTTTAAAAAATATGTTTGTGACTCTTAAGAGAAAGTTTTAATATCTATATTAATTAACAGACTTCAAAAAAAAGTCGGTTTTTTAAACGTTATTTATGAAAGAATTATTTATTGTTAAGGGGCAGGCGTTTGGCTACTACCTCGCCTGGTGGTAAGCGATGATGTGGTAAGCAACCTATTTACTCGAGACTTGAAGACGCCTAAGTTATACCCTTCAGGAAATACAGACTCAGGCAAAGAGCCACTCCTTTGCTATTCGCACAAGGAAACTTGATGCAGAACACTTCCTTCGAGAGGGCGTTGGTTGCAAGTGCGTTACCGGCCTTAGAATTAGGAATTTGAGGATTGTTGGGATTCGTGTATTGGGGAAGGGGGAGGGGTTAATTGTGCCTCCGATAAGATCACTCGCACAACAAAATACAGCGCAAGCGTTGTTTCACATTGGTTTTTTGTGAGGCAGTGGTATCACTCCGGTCGAGCCGGCCCATTCGTGCCGAAGCATGGCTCTCCCACACTTGCTACCTCTTGGTAGATTAGGCCCATTTGGTGAGCAAAAAGACGGTAACCCCTATCGAACAGCATCAGTTTAGCTACAGTTCAGCTTCAGTATATTGAATATATCTTCTTTTTATGGGCCGGTAAACGAGCAGACGGATCACCTGATGGTAAGCAATCGGTGTCGCCCATACACACCTGGAATACCAGAGGCGTTGCAAGTTCGTTACCGGCCTTTGGGATTAGAATTTGAAGATTGTTGGGATTCGTGGATTGGGGAAGGGGGAGGGGTTAATTGTGCCTTGGTTAATGGTTATTTGTGAGGCCGTGGTATCACTCCGGTCGAGCCGGCCCATTCGTGCCGAAGCAAGCATCTTCCACACTTCAAAATTTAGTCACAATATTCCACTTCACACACACACACACATTCATACGTAGGTACGTACGTACCCACACACATTGTTAGTTAAAAGAGAAGCTTGTTCAAAGCCCACAATACAACTTACCTTTTGCGTCGAATCGAGAATACGATAGAGAGGTTCGTGTTTCTTTGATTACACCTTTATAATAGATGTAGCAGTATTTATAAAGAATCAGTGATTTACTGACTTATGTTTATCAATATAATAACATGTAATCTTTTAATACGCTTAGTCTTAATGTTGTCTTTATTGATTTATCATTGCGATAACATCAGGTGGTCATTAAAAATAGTTAAGGAAATATAAGGATGTATTAGTCACTGTGTGCGTGAAAATGATTTTATTAGTCATGAACGACAATCTACAAATGTTGGAGTTTGTTTGTTTGTTTGAACGCGCCAATTTCAGGAACTATTGGAACAAGAACTGGTACGAATTGGATTTTTCTTTGTTTGATCATCAAATTATCAGGGAAAGCTAACATGACTGCCTCGTTCGCCGAGTGGTCGCAAGTGGGACTGCTTAGCAAGGGGTCTTGCGTTCGATTCCCTGGTCGGACAAAGTATTACCTACTGGGTTTTTCTAAAAATTCTCAGTAGTAGTACGGTTTCTGAAATTGTTTTCGGTAATGTAACACCAAAATCCAGTCAAAGAGATCGAAGGTGCTCCCTTTGCGTATCCCTGAAAGTGTTTGAAAAACACTGGCTGCTACTGGAGCAGGATGATCTACTCAAGAAAATTTTATTAAAAACGAGACCAGACTGTGGAAACCTAGTTATTATGGCGGCTTGGGAATCACAGTTGAGTCAAAGAAAATTTAGAGGATGCTGGGGCCCGGAGACTTAAGTCCTGAAACTTCGTGTTCCGTCGTGGGGACCAGCGCGGATCTCCGTCATGGGGAGGCGCGCTCCGCACCCATGCAACGGGGACCGCCTCCGTGCGATAGAACCGAACTTCCGTTTTCATGCCTGAGAGTACCTACGGGTTCTAAATCTACCAAAGGCAAATCTCAATGTGACTTTTTCCGAGCTATATGTAGGAGCACCATATAAGACTACTTAGACACCACTGACAAACGGCGAAGGAAAAAATCCTGTGGAAACTTGGGCTTTTAATTTCTAATTATAAGTTTGAAATCGCCAACTTACATTGGGCAAGCGTGGTGATTAATGCTCAAGCCTTCTCCGTGGGAGAAAAGATCTTTGGTCAGCAGCAGTGGCGTAGCGTATCTTGGCGGGGCCCCGTATTTGTTTGGGGGATGAAAGGTAAAAATTTCTCAGAAGAGATTTTGTTTTTCATAATGTACTAATAATTTGTGTTATAGCCGGAAATATTCTAGGTAATTCCCTCTGCCCAAATTATGGAACAATGATTACTTTTGTTTTTCCAAAGTTACTGGCATGTAATAGATTTCTTTATTCCATGGTTTCTACCAACCTTTTAACGCATGCATTTTTTGATTACTGAAATAAAATATAAATTGGGAATTTTTTATATTTTTGCTTACAATCGTGGGGGGCCCCATATCTTATATTTTATCTTATACTATTATATGAAGCGGAAGTTTGTTTTCTTGTTTGTTTGTTTGTTTAAACGCGCTAATCTCCGAAACTACAAGTCTGATTTGAATAATTCATTTTGTGTTGGATAGCGCATTTATCGAGGATGGGTATAGGTTATAAAACATCACGCTACGACCAATAAGAGCTGAGCAGAGCGTGTGAAACCGCGCGGAAGTATACGGCGGTAGCTGCGCCCACGGTCAGCAGTGGCTATTTACATATAAGCTGTTGATGTGTGTGTACTGTGTGGTGTGATGTTCTACCCGTGCCTCTATAGGAGGTCGCAGTTTTAGGAAATATCCAGGAAAACGTACAAAAAATATAATAATTGCGGATTACAGTATCACAATATTTGTTTAAGACACGCGGATGAGATGAGATAAAAGATAGCAGTATTTAAATGATATTCAAATTAATCAATCTTATCTTGTTTTTGCCGCATTAATTTTACGTATAAATACTTATTTAAACAAAGCGCATGGATTTATTAAAGGATTCAGATACTACGTTTCGAAGTTCAAGCAGCTAAGGTACCGTACAAAAACAGACGTTAGTTAGCAGGTCAATGTACACCAGTCTAACTTATAGCTTGAATAGAAATTCGAATCTAATTGTTCAGTTTTAAAGTCGAAAATCTGTTGAGTGAATTGATTGATTGGTGTAAGATTGATGTGCTGCCATGTTATTTTTTTCTCTTTGTGTTTTTCCTAATTGGTTTCAGCCATTTGGCTTTATCAATACTTTTACCAAGCACCATACAATATGCTATTTATGTGGGACAGATCGACAAAAATGTGTATAATATCTTGTTTTTCCTATTCATTTGACTTCCTACATTTGAATGAAAAGAGAATTCAATGAAAGAAAACAATATTAATTGAAATAATTTTAATTTATTTACGGCTTACTCACGTAATTGTTTGACGAGGAACTCGACTAGTTTACTCGCGGAATGCTGCTGATGAATATGAGCGTCTAGTATGGCTTGAAACTAGTCGAGTACTTCGTCAAACAGTTACGTGAGTACGTCGAATAATTAGTTTAGTATGTCTCACGTAAGTTTTACTGATCAATCCCCAAGCGGTCACTGGCGATCGCCCTCCATTAACTCCATTATAGACATTATTTCCGATGTTTAAAGACTACTTTTGTATGAACAAATTCTGGGGATTCATAACAGGTGATTGTGTTCGAGTTAAATAAGTAATAATAAATGTTTTATGCTGTTTCAGATGAAGAGTTTCATGTTTGTTGTGTTGCTGGCAGTTACCCTTGGGTATGCCACTGTAGATGCTGCAAAGCGTCCTGAAGCTCGGTTTACTGGACCAGAAAATATTACGTCAAAGGCACACGTGCTCTTAGCATCAAAGAATAGCGTTAATGATAGAATTTTGTCCAGGTAAGTCTCTCTATTTACATTATACTTTCACAACAATTACGTTGTTTTTCATTTCAATAAGAAAAAGTGACACAGCTAGGCTGTTTCACTGTCAATTTGAAAAGTGCGACTGCTGGTGGTAGCACGAAGTCTGGCATTGTGCCCGGTATACCTATGGCAATAGGCTCACCCCCTATTACATGGGACTCATAACATAAATTGTGAAAAGTGGGTGTTACATTATACAGTGGCATAATGTGCATTTTGTGTCAATTTGAACTTTAGAAGTGAGCTCGATCGCATTCTCATCCGTCATTGGTCAAAATTATTAAATTAACCATCGTTCCATACACCCAAAGGTTGCCTGGTAGATATCGCTTTTAGCGATAAGGCCGCCCTTGTACCCTCCTTATTCTTTATAATATCCGAATATGTGTAATTACTTGCTTGGTGTACAATAAAGCTTATTTATTATTATTATTATTCTCATAACCAATGAAATGGTGCACTGCAATCGAGTTTACTTTGATCTTGGGAATTGAAATTTACAAAATGGCCTAGTTGTTCCAGGATATACTTCTGAGAATTTCCCAAAACCGAAAATCTATATAGGTAGATTTTTAATACAAAATAATTATATGATTAATTGAAAATAACGGGACTGCCTCATTGTCCGAGTGGTCGCAAGTGCGACTGCCGGGCAAGGGGTCTCGGGTTCGATTCCCGGGTCGGGCAAAGTATTACTGGGTTTTTCAAAAATTCCCAGTAGTAGCACGGAGTCTGGAATTGTGCCCGGTATATGGCAATAGGCTCACCCCCTATTACATGGGACTCATAACATAAATAGTGAAAAGTGGGTGTTACATTGTACAGTGGCATAATGTACACCTCTGCCTACCCCTTCGGGGATAAAAGGCGTGATGTTATGTTATGTGAAAATAACGGTTTACTCACGTTTTTTTTTTAATTTTTTTATGGGATAGCCGGCAAACAACCAGGCGGATCACCTGGTGGTAAGCAATCGGCGTCGCCCACGGACACCCGGAACATCAACGGTGTTACAAGTGCATAACCACCTTTTAGGGATTAGAAATTTGAGGATTGTTGGGGATTCATAGATAGGGGAGGGGGTGGGGGGATAATTGGGCCTCCGATAACCTCACTCACGCGACGAAACACAACGAAAGCGTTGTTCCACGTCGACTTTCTGCTCGGCCGTGGTATCACTCCGGTCGAGCCGGCACAATTCCCGACTCTGTGCTGCTACTAAGATTTTTTTTAAAACCTAGTACTACTTTGTCCTACCCGAGAATCAAACCTTGCTACCACTCGGCCAACGAAGCAGTCTATAAAGTAATAGCCTATTAAATAATTTGTAACAATATGCACTTAACAGATCCTTTCATACTTTCCAGCACATACCACAGTGTTGACAGATCGCATAGAATAGCACACAATCAAGAAATACTCATCCGCTTGGTTGAGTTCGCCAGAATCACACGAGTTGAGGGCTGGGCCGGAACGGATTCTGTATTGAAAGTCCTAGATGGAGGTCTGGGGCATAATTTCATCAAATTAGGTTATAACACCGAAGAACACAAGTCTTTCAGTTATAGAGTGGATGTGTACGGCGTGTTAGAATGCGATGATTAAATATAATAAATAAAAGTTTGTAAAAAAGTAGATTTTGCATTATTTTTACCCGAATGTATGGTAGTATGAGTGTAATATTCTTTGTAACCTTGTTTCTTCTAAACCTATTGACCGATTTAGACAATTGATATATAAGTATACTAAATCTTTATATACGTCTTGATAACCCAAGTGTTCCTAGTTATGTGGCATTAAAAAAAAACAACCCATAGACTAGTTTATTAAAGTGAATTGCGTAATAGGTCGTCTATGTTGATTGTACCGTTTGCCATCTTGTTCTGTCTTTGGAAATGTGGATAGCGTAGCAGATTATTGTATTTAAGGTGGCGCTGATCAGGGCGCTTTCTCTTAAAACCAATCTCAATATCAATCTAAGAAAATCTCAATAATTATTCAATTATTCAATATTAACACTATAAAACCCTTATAGCTTTCAGAGTGCGAAATATAAAGCCAAACTCAATTACTATTACTTTACTCAATATCCACGTAATACGGATGCAATGGGCGCTTGTGTTGCAACTCAAGAGTACGAAATTTCACAATATCAATGTCGATCTATCGGAATTGAAGTCAAGAGTATGCCCCCTGGTCTGACGAGCGCATTTATTTAGCTTTCGCCCCCATTCTTTTTTTGAAACATTATCATCAGTTTTTCTGTTTTACTTGCAACGTATCCAAAACATTTAAAACATGTCTCAAGTAAGACGTGATTGTGAGCCGTGTTTTAAGCTGAATCAGAATTGGTGCATTGCAGTGGATTCTGAGTATCTTTCGCTAAGTCTGTCTTTATAAAGGTTTGCCGGCCTGACCGAAGTAATAAATCCTTTGGCCTCGCTGGAGACCGGCGCAAAACAAGCGAGTATGGTTGCCGTAAGCCCCACTCCCTCCCCCACTTTCCTCATCATCAAATCCCCAATCGTCAAATTCCTAATCCATGAAAGCGTGCAACACTTTGGTATTGCATGTGTTTATTGTCGGCGTTGATTGCTTACCATCAGGCGATAGTCGTGCTTGTTTTTCGCCCTAATCCAAAAAAACTAGAAGGTACTCTAGGCCGTGTGAGCGCGTGTGGCACTTATAAAAAAAAAAAACACTTTCATTCATATTACACGAACGTTATTTGTTACAGACCTAATAATTGCTAGTAGTATTTCTTCAGGCGATATGCAACACCAGATTTATTTGTTTAAATTATACATAACCCTAAAAGAATATATTACCTTAAAGAAAAATGCTAAGAAATCATAATTTATCGCAAAACAATGTGTTTTAGATGATATGATTTTAATTTACCTAGTTTATCATTTATTATTTTAATATTAAAGTATGCTACTAAAATTATTTGTTTAAACTCTTACTGTACTACACATTGCATTAAAATTTTGCAGTACATATATATTTAAAACACACTTCAAGTGTTATTGTTTTGTGTAAAATTGAAAACCATAAACATGACTATAAGATTTTTGTTCTGAATAATCTATGCTACGATTATTTTTTAGAATGGTCACCCCACGTATCCGCCATCATTGATTGATCATTGAGAAAATCGGCGTTCAGGAAACGGCGACGCGTAGTGTGGTGTTACGATTTGAGTAATCAGATAAACTAACATGGGTGTGAACGTAGAAACTATTTCTCCCGGAGATGGTAAGTTATTTAACAAAGATTTTGAATACTAAATCGAAATGTCATTGTAAAATGGTTAGGTAAGTACCTACTAATCTAGTAAGGTACTATACGAAGATTTTTGGCTTTAAAACTTTTAGACCATCTTAATATTCTATTTCGAACGTTACTTAGATCGTTCTTTATTGTTTTATATCAAATTGTGGTCTCTTATAAATTAATATCGATGTTTTATGATATCTTTTCCTTTTGCGGTCGGTCGGAGTGACGCCTGCCGACTCGTATCGGATTTACGCCGAATACATAATTTGCACAGACAATGACTAGTCTTTTTGTGTAATTACAATTATATTGATTCGCATTCTAATTTGATAATTAATACATAACCTATAACTATACTTGTACGTGGTTGGTGATAGGGCTCCAGCCGGCTTCTATTTAACCGCTAAAAATTACCTACCACGTGCAGTTACCGCATTATGCTAGTATTTTTCCTTTAATTTTATGACCATTTATTTGCTTAAAAATCGTTAGTGAAGGAAATGTAGTTATCTGATAAGTCTCTTACTAGATAACACTTGGATAGTAATAATTATTATTACGATAAAACCAACAATACGCGTGTTTGCATGTGTGTGTGTATTTACTTAAAGAAATACAGGTTGTTCACCTTAAAACATGATACTAAGATCTTTTCAAAGTTAAATAGGTCAAGGTTTGCATAAAACACTTATTGGTATCAGCAATTACATAAATGATAATTATCCTTTTGTTTATGAACTGGTGTAACCTTGCTATTAACTATAGTGTCTGATAAAGTTACTAATAAAATTAATCAACTCATTTCATAGGAAAGTCTGAAACCAGTCAATATCATCTGCTAGTTTGACAACAAATTATAAAACAAAACAAATCCTAAGTCATGTATTAATTTTGAAATTTTTACCAACTTAACTTTTAAATGTTACTTTCTCAGAGTCCACCTACCCCAAGTCGGGTCAGACCGTAGTGGTCCACTACACTGGTACGCTGACCAACGGCAAGAAGTTTGACTCCTCCCGTGACCGTGGCAAGCCTTTCAAGTTCCGCATCGGCAAGGGAGAGGTCATCCGAGGCTGGGATGAGGGTGTTGCCAAGGTAAAAATCATTTTAATATCTCAACTCTATGAAATAATAACTTTCAAATCTTAAAAATCAATGTATTTGCGAGTTGGAGGTCAGGGTATGTATAGTGTTATTCTATTTTTCAAAGATTTTATGGATATAATTTAAGTCTGGAATAGTATCCACTATCCAGTATCTCATAATATTATGGCTTACTACAGGAGGCTAGTGAAAAGTGATGGAGTATTGGTGTATTAATCTGTATATCCCGAGGTGATCACCGGTGACCACTCTCCACTAACTACATTATAGATCTTATTTTCAATGTTTAGAGATTACTTTTGTATGAACAAATTTAGGGGATGATTTTCGAAAATTTTAATAAGAGATCAGAAGAATAAAAATGTTTAATTCAATGCATAATGTTAGATAGTAATCCAGTCTGTATATAGACTACCATGTTCAGTTTAGAATGTAAAATTCACAGTAGTAGTACCATATATCTCAGTGTTTAGGCTAAAGTACAAAATGTTTGCAATTAAAGTTCCTGTGTTTTGTAAACTGATTTGCAATCATTGCTACTTGGATATTCCCATACAAAGTAGTAGAAAGAGCTATCTTTGTTTGTTAAAACATTGCTATAGTCATTCATACTATTTCAGTAGGCTTTTTCAATTAAAAATAGGTATATTATGTGATTAACTTCTGTCAGCAGGGTATCTCGCATTCGCTGGTTTAGCTTAACTTGTTTCTCTATTTCAGATTATCTATCTTTGCTTTAAGTTCTGATTCTTTCTGTAGTTTTTGTGTGAAAGTAACATGCTTTCACATTCATATAATATGAGCAATGAGTAGCAAGCAATAGCAGTAGCAATTAATAAGGGAATAGAATCAATAACTATTATTATTATTTTTTTTTTAATTCAGACAGGCAGTTGAAACAACTGATAAATATCTGTATTGTATTCTTCTATCAGTGGTTAATTCGATGTTGTGTATCTGTCAAGTCTGTTTTTGAACTGGTTAACATTCTGTGCATCGATTACATATTCTGGCAGCCTGTTCCATGCCTGTTCCATGATTACGAGACTCATAACATAAGTGGTGAGAAATGAGTGTTACATAGGCATCATTTGACTATCCCTTTAGGGATTAAGAGGGGTGACGTTATGATTGTAAATATAAGTAAATATAAAAAAAAACTAATCTTTGTATCAAATATTTATTTAATTTCCTTAAAATTGGTTTGCCTTATAAATGTCACTGCCACTTTCATCTTTGCATCACCTAAATATCGACTGTCAGACAATGCCCAAGGCATTAAGTACACCTGTACATGTTTTTGTGTTTTCAAGTCTTTAATAAATTCCATTTTATCCCATTACAGATGTCGGTGGGCGAACGTGCCAAGCTGACCTGCTCCCCGGACTACGCCTACGGCCAGCAAGGTCATCCTGGAGTCATCCCACCCAACTCCACCCTCGTCTTCGACGTAGAACTCCTGCGCCTCGAATAAAACTATAAGCAGTCACCTAACTTTAATTAATTTACATTTAGACATTGGAACTATTTCTCTTGTTTACTTAGTCCTATGGCTGGAATAAATAAGAAATCTTAATACAAAATCGATTGGTTTTTGATGTAAACTCCATACAAATTTTATTACTTTTTTAATTTAACTATTTCGATCGTTAGCAGTCAATCAGAAGGATAGCTTAATCCCAGTGAACAAGAGAATGGTTCCATGTGAGTATTTCAACTTAATGTCTTTTAAAGTAATTAATAAAACGTTAAACTTATATCGGTACATGAACTAAATGGGAAAACTGCCAACATTGAATGTCAAATTGGAAACTATGAATTTACTTGATGTAATATTTAAAGATTTTCATGTTTTTTTATGATATACTTCTTATTAAGATCTTGCACAATGATACTAAGTACCTATGTCAAATGCAATGTGTGACATGTTAATCGATTGTTTCGACGACCATATTAAACTGTCAAACACCAAGCGGTCACCGGTGACCGCAACCTATTGTTCTTTAATTGTGTCTACAAAACCGGTACTCGACGAGTTAAGACTACATCATCAGAGCAACAGCCTATAAGTGGCCACTGCTGAGTAAAAGCCTTTTCACATAGAGAAGGGATGATTATTACTCGTCATGTTTGTTCAAGGCAGATAGGCGATTTCAAACTTAAACTGTCAAACATCAAGCGGTCACCGGTGACCGCAACCTATTGTTCTATAATTGTGTCTATAATGACGGTACTCGACGAGTTAAACACCTCGAGGACACCGGTGACCGCAACCTATTGTTCTATAATTGTGTCTATAATGACGGTACTCAAACTGTAAAACACCTCGAGGACACCGGTGACTGCAACCTATTGTTCTATAATTGTGTCTATAATGACGGTACTCAAAACTGTCAAACACCTCGAGGACACCGGTGACCGCAACGTACTGTTCTATAATTGTGTCTATAATGACGGTACTCAAAGGGCTAAACTGTCAAACACCAAGCGGTCACCGGTGACCGCAACCTATTGTTCTATAATTGTGTCTATAATGACGGTACTCTACGAGTTAATTGTGTCTATAATGACGGTACGCAAAGGGAATTGTGAGTCGCAAGTACATATAACTCGGAAAAATCACATTGGTACTTGTTGCTTCAGGTGCAGGCCACCAAGATATATGTAGAGCTTTCGAGTTCTTACTATATAAGAGAGATGTTATGTATTCACGTTTATCATGTTACACATTGTATACCTATTTAAAAAATATGTTTTATATTGTACACGTTTTTTTACAACTGTATCATACAAGGATTCAACCAGATCCAATGTCAATTACAATTCAGTTCTAACTGTTCGATATTCCTAAAGTCTATAGCATTATGTATTAGATAAACTTAAAAAGCCTTAGCTCATTACGACATTCCTTTAGCATTTTGATTATTAGAATCGTGCAATATGTCTTAAATAGTCACTCTTAGAAGACTTTTCACTCTTGATCACAATATGATATGGATGTGTTAAGATCTGGATAATTTAAGGGCCAAAATATGTAATGTGCGATAATGCTGTATTCCAAAACTGTAAATAACTTGCACAAGAATCTTGTGGTCTCATTACCTGGATTGGATGTGTTGGTGAAGGTAATTTCAATGATAGCTTTATCATTTATAACTAAGATGAATAAACTTATTGTGGAATATTTAACTTGTTTTATTTGTCACATTGCCTGCTTGGACTATCAAGTGCCTGTACAAATTAACGCACTTGTCCTTTAAAAACATTAAGAAACTTAGCCAATATACAAATCTTGTAATAACTGGAAAACTAGAGGTCCTAAATAAAAAATAAGGAATTTTTCGTCACCTCTATCGTTGGAAGAGCTATAGGACAGGGTCGGAGTGTCCTTGGGTAGGGTAGAACTCATTTATAAAACATTTTAATGAATATTATTTTTTTAACAACTCTTACTAACATACAACTCTTACTAACGTACATATTTGACAATGGTCGTCTCGGTGTGTCTTTTTTTTCATTATTAATATGCGAATCTTCTAAATCCCGAAATCAGAAATGTCCTTAAATCAGGATTTTTTTAAGTCAGGACTAAAAAATATTTGATGTTCCAACATGGCGAGTATAACAACCCCAAGTCGTCAAAGTAGGTATTTTCTGTACTGCTAGCATAAGTATGAGTTGGACGTAGACACAGCGGGGCGATTGCCCCACTCAAGCTCAAACCCGATAGTTACCTAACCAAAAAAACATTTATTTAAATCATCTAGGTATTAATTTATAATACTTAGTATTTGCAAGTTTCATACTTGACACTCATTGGTCGACACCAAAAAATGTGATTAAAGTAGATATCCCTTATTTTTTTGGTTTTTCGTCATCATCAGCCGCTAGACGTCCACAGCAGAACATAGGCCACCCGAATTAGGTAATTCCAGATAGGCCCGGTTCGGTATGACCTGCATCTAACGATTACTGCAATCTTAATTATTATACTGTCTTCTGTCTACATTGAGGTTGGATATCCAGCGCTACGCTTGCTGGTATGTTCAGTTTTCATTCTGCCCGATTAGTCATCAGTTGTACGTGCTATGTACTCCATCTATTGCAACTAGTTTGCTAATCCACTGGGCTATATCTAGAGGTAGCGATAATCGTTCATTTTGGCGTGAAGAAATTCGTTCGGTCAAGCGCTCCACTTCGTCCTTAGCTAGGATGACTGCGTCACCCCGTTCCTACTACTGCCCTTCGAGCCAGAGCCCCGGCAACCTGTTAGGCCGTCAGCGGAAGAAGGAGTACTATGGCCTGAACCAGAGCTAGACACGAGAGGTCGCGTCGCCGATCACATCTCTGATAATATGGCGGTGTTCAGCCTATAAACAAACAGATATCTTCCGAAACTCCAATGTTCGGGACTTACCGCTGCAATGACAGCGAGCCCAATTTCTTTACATCAGATTCAATTGTTTTTGTACAAAGTTTTCAAAATCTCGATATGATGTAAGTACCTACCGATAAATTAATATAGCATCAGTGAACCGCCTTAACCACTGCCTTGTTCTATCTCATTACTAGGCACCATGCCAGGGCAACATCGCCAGTTACGTATCCAAGCAGTTTTGACTTGTCGAGGCGCCGTGGGCTTGCTTTGGTGACCTACGAGTATCAGCAGTAGCTACTGGCTACGATATGACGTCTTCAGATAAAGCTCTCAGGCCTCGATCAAATCAAAGGTCGTTTTATAGTCCATAAACACTAAGCACAGTATATTTTGGCCCTAGGTCAAAGACGTTTAAAAAAGGCGGACGTAATTAAAATGATTGAAGCACTAAAATGTCAATATGTGTGCGTGTACTTGCAACACTGAAGTGGAATGATGGGCCATGTCACGCGACAGATGTCTTTCGTGTCGATGTGTGTGTATTCTGCGTGTAAGTCTATAGTAGCTGGGTGCCACAGTCGTTGTTTCAAGAGACCTTTTTTTCAATGTCCTTGTCCTAGCTCTTTTATGCAACTCGTGTATCTTGGCCTATGTTACTAACTATAGCCTTTTTGGAAGCCGGCATTATCGAGAGGCTGGACGTCATCGGACCTAGGAACAGTTTGTAGACATGACTCAGATCAGATGTCAGATGCTTCAGTAAAGCGTTTTAACCTTTCTTGGAAGCCTTTCTTGAAAATAAAGGAATTTTGCTCCGTGCCTGAGGCGTTGCTTTGTCGAGCAAGACGAAGTTGAGGGTGATCTAAAGAACTTTCAGTATCAGCTTTCCACTTGCTTCCAGAAGCTCTGATGTAACTCCTCTTCACTGGCACTTTGATGTTCTCAAGTTTTTTAAGAACCATTCTAATCTAGTACAAGCTGATGTTCGAGACTCGGTTTAGGGTCGGGTAAGCTTATCTTTTGGACCTGCTACTGAGCTGACTGGCTTACTGACTGACGCGTATAACTGGCTAAAAGAACTCCCCCTCAAAACTTATGACTTTGACGACACTATACCTACTATACTCCGCAGATCCGCAAAAGATTTACTTCCCTAAAGACTACTTGGAGCCCCAAGTATAAAGTGGGCCTTGGTATCGCCTTTTATACTATTCGTGTTAAGTCATTTCGCAGAGACTGTCAAATCTGTCTGTTGATTTGCCTATGCGCCTTAGCTTCGGCGGAATTTTAGAGCGTTATCACGCGTCGCACGCTTGTGTTTCTACCAAGGTTTGAAAAATTTAGCCCTCTTGCTAATCTTAATTTTTTTAGTTGCGTTTACAATTCATGGTAGTCATAGAAGATTAAAATGTTTACTGTTATGCATGTACATACATTCAGAATTACAGATGCGTAGGTACACCTTTTTTTTGAGGGGAGAAAATCATCCATTGATTTCTCCCACCTTGGGTTAAGCGAGATTGTTAGATTCTTACTGACTAAAAACCGCACCGTTCCTACTCCTGCTCTTCGAGTTGGAGGCCCGACAACTCGTTAGTGTCGTCGTGTCGGGCATCAGCCCTACTGGGCCCCATCTGTGGTGGTCTGATAGCTCTTTGAGGTGCGCGCGGAACTCGATGCGCCGTAGATGCGTACCCTTTGTAAGATGAGGTATAATTTGCATGTTACATAATATTTTAGACCATTGCCTTATCCTGAGACCATGGCTGGCTACGTCCCTGTACGACGAGCATGAGAGCATGGCTTACCTATGTATGGCTAATTGGCTATTCAGCACGTCTCCTAACTCCTAACACACTCAGAGACAGACCTTAAGACCTAGAGAGCGCCCGAGGCAAGCACCTCACAGGCGTCCCTAACACTTTCGGTGTCAAGAGTGGGAGAGCCATGCTTCGGCATGAATGGGCCGGCTGGACCGGAGTGATACCACGGCCGACCAGAAGACCCACGTGGAACAACAATGTGTTGTGTTTCGTTGTATAAGTGAGGTTACCGGATGCCCAATTATCCCCCCCCCATCCCTTTCCCCAATCCCTGAATCCCCAACAATCCTCAAATTCCTAATTCCAAAAGGCCGGTAACGCCTCTGGTGTTCCAGGTGTCCATGGGCGACGCCGATTGCTTACTATCAGGTGATCCGTCTGCTCGTTTACCGGCTTATACCATAAAAAAACCAATATTCTATGATGCCCCCCCCACCTGATCCCCAACTGTAACCTGCCTTAGAAACTTGCTTAGTTTGCCTTAGTGGTAATACGGCTCTGAGTATACGAGACTTATAACGTAACTGATGGATAGTGGGCGTGACATTTCAACATAACATAACATCACGCCTTTTATCTCCGAAAGGGTAGGCAGAGATGCACATTATGGTGAGGTGCCTCTGTAGTACAATGTAACACCCACTTTTCACTATTTTAGTTGTGAGTCCCATGTAATAGGGGAGAGCCTATTGCCATATACCTGGCACAATT